ATGATCCAACAATAACTGAATTTTTGTTCCGTTTTTGTTGGATCACTTACATGAAAACGTTCTAATTACAATCTTTGTTTACACAGTAACGGTGCACATCAAAAATGTGTAATGCTCTTGCCCCGCCTAGTTTTTGCTAGGTTCTTTGAAACTGAAGAAATTGAAGGCACGTGGATTCGCGTTTCCCCATCAGGTACCGTGGAGAAAACACGCACTATGTGCGTCTGATTAGGGCGCAAGCAGTTGAAAAAGTGTGGGATAACTTTGCTGAAACACCTTGTTTGAGCTTTCACGGTGTCCGTAGCGGGCCCCGTCTGGAAGCTGTTTATTGCTTTTACCTTGGAATGGCCAACAGTCTGTTATTCCTATATCAATTTGATAAAATAGGAGCTCCCGCACTTCCTCTGTCACCTTTTCCAGCAGTTAAAACAGTTTAATCCGTCGCTAACAAGTTGTAACCTGTTTTTCCGAGCCGCCTTCAAAAGCAACATTAACACTGAGACGCTCACGCTGGGTTTACACCTGTGAGGCAGCAAAGTAGACCTGCTGCAGCTGCGCAGATGTGTGTTAGAATCATGGCAGCAAACCAGCAAAACGTAAATAACTTTGCCCAGTTTTTCCCTCCAAACTAACCGACTGAGTTGAGTAAAGCTGTTGGATGCAGGTAATGATAGCTAAAAGATGACTAGCTAATATCAATACAGAACCTTAAGCTTGTTAACGAGTAGCCTGTATGCTATTGATGTTGTTGTCTATGTTCAGCTACTTAGACTCATTTTGCCCCCCCAAAATAAGTCGATGCCCCCCCCCTGTTAAACTCGTCTGGAGACGGGGCTGGTCCGTGGTTCTAGAGGCTGAACAAACAGCCGTGTATTTTGCCACCTGGGCGGCACGGAGCGGTGAAGAGACGCTGAGGGAACCGTATCTGATGGGGAAACAGTAACACCAGTATTGTGAGTAGTTTCTTCTTCTGTGGATTGTAGGAAGCAGCTATGTTTTGCGTCATACTATGCATGAGCTGGGGATTCTCTGGAAGAAAAGATCCGTTTTCAAGGTTTACACGACAACGGAAAACGGTACGTTTCAGAAACATCGTACTCTGGAACCCGTTTTCAATCTGTGCCGTTCGGCAACATTCGCCAACATTCGGTGGTTTCGTGTAAATGCGCACTACAAACGCAACAAAACTCTTCCGTTTTCACCCGAAATCGTTTTCGTGTAAACGGGGCCTCAGGTTTATAATTGAACTGGAGGCACCAATTTACATTTTTGTAACTTTTAACATTTTTTAACACAAAAGCTTAGCAGGTTTTCTGGAAGTGCTTGTTGTTGTTCAAACTGAGATTTCTAAGGTGAAGCCATTTTATTTTAATTCCACTTGTAATTGTGCAGTATGTTGTTGACTACTGCACCGTTTATTTTCGTCCTCTCTTTATCTTTATTTTCCCTCCCAGACTGTTTTCTCCTTTTCTCCGGTTTGATTCATGACAGCAGCGACTACAAAGCAGCTCTTCTTCTGTTTCTATCTTTCTCTCCCTTCATGCAACCTTTTCTCACCCTGTTTCTCCACAGCGCCTCTTACTTGCATTTGTCAAAGGCTATCTCCTTCGCTGAACATACATTTTCCAGACAGTCATGAGGAGAAGAGAATAAAATCTCCCGGTTGGGGAGGAATGGAGAGGCGACTCGGAGACAAACGGATCGGAGTCGGAGGATCTGGGCTGTGCAGATGGTGTGTGAGCGGCTCCATTGTGTGTGAGCACATGTGTGGAAGGATGCGAGCGCTCCAGCCCGCCATTGGCTGCGTCTAATTGAAAGCTCATTGGTGTAATTGAAGCCTCTCAGCTCTTCAGCTCCTCGTGTTAAAGACTGGGACCAGATGTCATTCAGCTGTCTCACATCTCCTGCCAATCACTAATGCTCTTCCTCACCAGCGCAGATGGAGCACCGACGCTTTTCTCTCCACGCTCGTTCCAAATCCTCACAGAGCCGATTTGTCAGCGAGATTTTAAGGAATACGAGACGGAGAGACGGGAAAACTGGGAGGCGGAGCGGCTTTGTGAGAGCAAGGCAGAAAACTGGAGGTTCAAATCAAACTTCGGATTCAAAACGACCAAGAGAAGGTCAGACCTCACCGGGACGACGGAGAAATTCAGCCTAACGTCACAGAACATCAACTTTCCAGAGACAGAAGCTCATTTAATACAAATACGCTTACAGAGGCAGGTTTTTATATATGGCAGGAGAAAAAAACTGTAAGAAAGAAGGAATAGAAAATACAATAATAAGAAGAAAAGGAAAGAGTTAAGTTTGGGGAAAAGATGGGAATCTATGAAGAACAAGAAATGAAAAGGAAGAGAGAAAGGACTGAGGAGAGAGAGAGAAGAAGGAAGGAAGGAAACGGAGTAAAGTCTGGACACATAAATGTTTCTCCATAATTTTCTTGAAAAATCAAATCCATATTCTCCCACTTATCCCGACTGCGAAGGAATCCTGGAAAGACGGCAGAAAATCTACATAAAGAGGCTTTGAAGCTAAAGAGCAAAGAGGAGATGAAGAGCGCGAGTCTCCACCATCGTCTCAAAGTCTTAAGCAACTTAAAGCTTAAAAAACTTGATTTCTCAATCGTTCTGATCTGATCTTTCTGGAAAGCTTGAGGATTATCACAATGTGCACTTTTCCATCCTCAGCTTTTACCACTTTCTCTCTGCAAAACACTTTGTTGCTTTGAATTGCCAATCATTTCCTCCTAAACAGCAGCGAACGCCTTCATCTCTGCTTTGAACCTGCAGAAAGTGGCTCTGGTCCTCCAGTAGATGGCGCCAGCCTGCAGCGCTGCACTCACACCACCTTTAACCATTCTTCTGCGCTCCCTTTCTCCGTTTCTTTCCTCCTTTCTTGTGATTCATCTATCCCTGACAAAGCCTCGCCGCTGCCGCTACACGCCCTGGGCACAACTCTTTGCCTGGCCTCATTAAAAGATCAAGACAAATCTTAGCAACGGTTAATAAATCTTCAGGGCAACGAGCTCTCTTTACTCTGCCACGCGAGTTCATCTGTTATGCTCTTTGGTCCTCTTTTAGAAGTCTGTGGAAATAAATATATTACAACAAAGAGAGCAGAGCTGTGGTAGATTGTGAGCGTGTTGACGGACGACTCACCGGCCATCTGCTGGATCCCGCTGAAGGCTCCCAGGTTGCCGGAGGAGGCGGCCTGCTGCAGCAGCTGAAGGGGAGACAGACGCAGAGTGAGCCGGGTGGACGCAGCAACGAAACGCCGGGAAGCGGCTACGCTTCCCAGCTCAGCGCTCGATGAGCAAACGAGCTGCTAATATAGTCTGATCTCTCCTCAAAGCGAGCGCCGTTTGCATTCCTGCAGTTCTCCAGACAACTTGTGCTCGAAAGCGTTAATCTGGCTGACTAATTAGATTCCAAAACAAATCAGGAATACTGACGGCGTCAGAAACTCAGCCTTCGAAGACTCAAATTAACAGCAAATTAACATCTTGTTTCTATTGTGGGAATTTCTTTTCAACAACGGCGGAGAGAGAGGATTCAAAGCAGAAAAATCTCTCAAATAAATCAATATCCAGTAAAGGAGCGCCTGTACTCCCCCCAGCTAATCCAGAGACTGGCTGTGGTTAATTTAAAAACTGAAGCAGAATCGAAACAAGCCTCACTAAAATGGGGGGAAAAGTAGAGAAAGATGAAGAGAAGGAGCTGCGGGAGAAGAAGAAATGTCCCAATCAGACGAACCTCCAGGGACTCAAACCGTTTGAGATCCGTTTTCCTGAACTGATTTGAGAAAAATCCTTAAAAAGTCATCGCTCTTTTTTAGATTAACTCTTTCAGAGCCAACAGATAAAAAGCAGCTTTCAAATGAGGATTTCAACAAACCTCTAAATGAGTTTGTAGTGGCCTAGTCAAAGTCTGGCTTGAATCTGACAAAGATCCAACTGTGAAAGTCCTCCACAGTGACATTGTACACAAACTGCTTCTTCCTTTTCCTCAGATGTTCGTTTGATCATCAGACATTTCAGTGAGAAAAAGCAGCAGGAAAAGATAAAAACTTTGTTTTAAATGCTGCAGGTGACGAAACGTCCGACTTCAAGGCTTGGTTTGTTTTTGTCCTTGTAGAAGAAATGTCTTTCTAATGAATCTGCTCCACTAAAGGGATTCAAAACTTTAAAGCTAAGATCAGAAAACATGTTTTCAGCTCACATTTGACTGTTTTTAAGCGTAAAATCCTCCCTAAACATTCCCTCTGCTTCAGAACGACCTGCAACAAGCTGTCAGCGGATAAAAGCTAAACTCACATGAAGATCTGCATCTGCCTCCTCATCCTCTCATTTGAAAGATTTGGTTCGGTTGGATTAGATCAGGTTAAGCATTTGGGGATTTTTCTTTCTGAAATTTAGGTTTTGATATTTTTATGCATAAATCTGTTAAAGTCCAATAATGAGTCGGACAGGAACCATCTGAAGTCTCCAGGTCCTTCAAACAGCAACATGGAGCAGATTTTACACTCAGCTCAGTTTTTTAGACATCCATGTTTCAACATGAGGAGGTTTCCAGAGCTTAAATCTAACATTACTGCTTTACTTTTACAACAAATACTGAGATGTGAGCAGTAGATCTGCTTCAACCTTAAATCACATTATTATTTACTTAAATTAACTGGGCTGGTAAGGATGAAGATGTGGCATTTTAAGGGATCAGCTCAAGCTCTTCAATGAAGTCATTTAAAAATCTAAAGGAATCAGGAAAACGATGTTAGACGTCAAAGTTTGCATAGAAACAGGAATATCTAGATATCATCCTGTCCCAAAGATGAAGGAGGTTTGGTGGAAAACGTTTAAATCGACCCAGAAGCAAAAGTTAAAGCTGTTCTGAAGGATCTGCTGAGGTGAGACGAGTCGAGGCCTGAAGAGCGGCGCAGAGACGAAGACGCCACCATCCAAGGAAGCTAACAAACCACTTCTGAGCTCCAGGAAACTAAAACAGTTCAAATCATTTCTATTAAATACTAACAAATATATTCTGGTGTTTAGCAACTAAAAATATAGTTTATAAACCTGACTGAGCTAAAGCAGGAAATATTTTAGTCTGATTTAATGCCAAAAGATGTCATGCTGTACAAAGTGTGTAAATATTAAATAATTTTAGTCAAGAATTAAAGCTAAATCAATCAAAGCTAAATGTTTTGGTTGTTGCATCACTTCTACATTCATTTCTGATTATGGATTCATTTTTCCTGCTTCTCCTTTAAACTCGCCTCAGCAGGGCTAACTGGTTAGCTTTAGCTTTAGCTCAGATTCAAAGAGGAAGAGTGATGAAGGTGAGGGTCAGCTGCAGGGAGGAAGAGGAAAGCAGAGGACAAAAGGAGGCAGGGAGTATTTCGGGAGTCTTTCTGGTCGGGGCACTGACTGTGGCTGCGCTGGCCACGGGGCTGCAGGGTGAGACGGAGGAGGAGGAGGTGATGATGGAGGCAGGCGACGCGGCGGCGACTCTTACAGCCAGGTACTGCGGGGTGAGGCCGCCCAGGCCCGTCAGGCTCCCCCAGGTGGTCGCGCTGTTGAGCTGCTGCATCTGCTGTGCCAGCTGCTGCTGCAGACGCCGCTGCTCCTTGTCCTTCTGCGTGTCGGCGAACTTTACCACGATGGGAGACGAGCAGCCCTGAGGAGGAGAGAGGCAAGAACAGGAAGACTGTTACTGCTGCAAAACGATTACAGACAAAAGCATAACAAGAAAGGTGACGTTTTAGGTGAGGACAGGTCTGCGGCCTACACAAAACATGTTCAGTACATTTTTTGCACGTCGTTCTGAGATGATGATATTTTCCATTCAGCTTTTGGGCCTCTGTCACTTTAAATCCAAACAAGCTGCTGCTGGCCATGTCCCCAGGTTAACATTTACACACTAAAATGGCTCCAAACAGATTCACAATTATACAGCCGTACATCTCTGAAAAGCAAAAGTGGAGCCTCCTGCACAGCCAACAGGAACACAGCAAGTGGCTTCTGGTTGGTAAGTCGCCAGCAAAACTCTGGTCTTTTCCAGCAGCCACTATACAGCAGGAAAATAAGCTGACCAAATCAGCTCCAATCTGGTTGCTAGGCAACGGGGCTGGGTTATGCCGGGGTTGCTAGGCAACGGGTAGTGCCTCCTGACTGGTGATGTTACATTCTGGAGGTTTTTGAAACGGCTCATTTTCCATAAAACACAAACTCTGAAAAAACTGTCTGGGAGTTATTTTTGTTTTTGAAAACCCAAACAGAAATGCACAAAATGTGAATTTTCCACAATGTGTCCCCTTTAATAAAGGCTGAGATGAGCAGGAGCGTGTTAGCGACACAGGACACGCACACAGTCGCTCAGGAAACTCTCCTCTAAAGCCAGCGGGGCTTTCTTCTTCTTTCCCCCCACAAGGGCTCAGTTATCTCTGAGTCCAAAACGGTTTCACCAGACACTGATTTCCCGACTTCTCCAACTATTTCATCATCTTTTATGAAGAGAGACTTGATGTGCGAATGTGTGTGTGTGTGTGTGTGTGAGAGAGAGAGTGATTGGGATAACCATCAGGAGAGGGCGACAGGGCAAGAGGGAGATTCAGAAACGTGGACAATCAGGAGTAATTGTCTGGATTTCTGCTGCTGCCGGGTTGCAGAGACAAAGCCAGGCTCACAAAGGGACCGACGCGTCGGACATGAGATGGAAACGCGCCGCGTTCTCTGATGAAAGTTACAGTAAAGCTCAAAGTGATAATCTGTTGCAACACACCATTCCTCTCGCAGTGCAATCAAAGCCTAACTAGGGGCAAATCCGTCGGAAAACAAAGGCAATCTGCCACAGGAGGATGGAAACCTTTTGATTGAAACATTTAGTTTGAGGCGGGGATCCACGCTCGGCGAAGGAGGGAAGGGATTCGGCTACTTTGCAGATGGCAGCGCAGAACGCCGAGTGTCTGGGACCGAAGGAGGGCAGCCGCAAATACTCACAACAACCAGAGTTGTCAGTCTGAGATTTCATTAAAGCTTCCAGAAATGTATTTATTCCGTCAAAATGTTCTCGACCTTCCAGTTTTGCAACTGTTTCTAAAAAGTTATTTGGACTTTTCCCTCAATTCTCATCTCCCGTCAGAGCGCTGTCTGGGATTTCTCCCATTGAGCTAGATTTCTCCAGGTGGATTTCAGTCAAGCCAATCAGCAAACAGATTTTCTGCGCCGTTTTCCTGACACGCTCTGCCTGTAGTTTGTAACTGGCAGCAGAGGAAATAAACAAAGCCGTGTTGGTCACACTTCAAAGACAAAGCAAGAAGACATTTTATTGCTGGCAAAAAGTTTGGTTCAGCTCAGCTCATGACTCATGGAGATCCCATGGGATTTACAAATAAAAAATAAAAAATGACAAAATGGAATCAAGAGAATATAGTTACAATATTTGAAGAATAAAGTCATATTAGTAAAATATTCTTACAGACATATCTCACAATTTCTCCAACATTTTTTTGCTGTAAAAAAAAAAAGTTGGTTCCTAGAACTAAATCTAAGTATATTTAATATATACTTTAAATAATCTAAAAGTGTAGATTAAATAAAAACTGAATGATAGCGTAGTGAATAAATTATTTACAACACAAAGTTTGAAATATAAACTGGTGATAAACTTAAAAACGTCCTCTGAATGAGCCGTTGTCACTGCATTTTGTCATTAGCTCATTAAAATTTAAATATTTAAACAGAAAGGTTCTCCAATCTAAATTTAATGCGACTTCCTGGAAGTTGCTGCTGTTTTGTCCTAATTAATGAGGTGGAAGCTGAAGATTGCTCGTCTTCCCAGACGAAGAGTCGCTCATGAAACTCACCAGGAAGAAGAAGAAAAAAGCAGCGTAATTACAAAGCAGCACTGGCTATCATCACCTTCCAACATGACATCAAAACTGCAGGCTGCCGTCGCTCACAGCCAAAAAAATGGCACCTTTCTTCCCGTGGCGACATTGGAACCGATAATTAACATGGCAGGATGCTGGAGAGAAACCTGGCAACATTTAGCTGCTGCAATCGGATTCCGTTTTATTTAAAGTTACGGTTTGATTTCTAACGCAGAGAAAGAATCAAGGCTCCTGTAAGGACTGTATTATTTGATTTAAATGTAGGAAAGTTCAATATTTGTGTGAAAAATAATCCTAATTTTACTGTTTTCACACAAACTGTGAATTAAAAAATCTGATTTCTCAGTTTTAATCTTGAATGATCCAGAAGGATTATTTTTGTAATTTTGACTATTCCTGAAATATTATCACTTTATTCTCATATTATTAAGATTTTATTATCGAAATACGATTCATCCTTGCAGCTTGACTTTATTCTTGAATGCTGTCACTAGTGTAGCATGCAGGCTATGTAGTGATAGCCTACATGCTGTAGCTTTAGCTTTCTAGCTAATTTTAGCTCATAAACCGCTGTGACCTCACAGTTTAGCTTTATTAACCCTCCTTAGCTGCAATGACTGAACGTTTTCAACCCCCTTCAACAGTTTTGCAAACTTCTCTGAAGTTGATTTCAAATTATCCTGCAATTTTCACTAAAAACATTCAGCTTACAGCATTTATGCTGCATTTGGACAGGAATAGCTTTTTTCTATTTATTTTTTGTTCTTATTGATCTCTTTTCTTAGATGAGCCAGAAGGACTGTAAATTGCCCATTTAAGTTCAAAGAAGCATGAATTATTGTTACGTTTAACCTGGAAACGGCTGCAGGTTGTTCCATATTTTAGCTGTTTGAAAAACTGGACCAGCTGCTGGTTTGCTGCCTGGTAATGGAGGCGGCCATGAAAATATTAGGATTAAACTTTCATGAGCAGGAGAACATCAAGTAAAGCTTTGAAAACTTCCTGTCTGGGTTTAAACACTGAATAAAGGAACCAAATCGATTTGAAATTAAGTTTCTGAATTATAAACCACAGAAAGTCAACTTCAGTGAATTTCGGATGAAAATTTGGACAAAAACTCCCTCAAATTTTATTCTTTGTTTGCAAATTTTCTCAAATGGTTTCATAATCTGGATAAAAAGAATAATTATTAGCTCTCAGTCATCAGTAAGTTGTGACACTGTTCGCATTTAGCTGCAGTTTGCAACAACCTTCACGTCCCTCGCTCGCCCTGAAATGTTTCTAGTGAATAGAAGCACATCCAGACGGCAGATGTGGAAACTTTCAGTGTATTAATAATCTCAGAAGTTAAGTGTTGGCTTCTTTTAAAAGTCCCTGAAACACAGAAAGCTGACAGGCTTCATGTGTGATGGGCTAATAGCACGCCGCGGCGGTGACTGGCAGCCGGGGCGCGGTGGGCGAACGGTGCGACAGCCTGTCGTTTCAAATCCTACTGAAATAAGCACCTGGGTGATTGTGGCATCCAGATTTAGATTCATGTTACTCCTGCATGGATCCGGTGATGTACACCCTCTGCAAGGTCACAAACTTTAAATCGCTTTGTTTTTAGCCTGGAGCTAAGCCTTTCACTTTTTAAGGATATGTAGAGATCCATCCAAAGGCTGAAGGACTTCCAGTGTTTAGAGCTGAACCTCAGGATCTCATTGTTTGCAGATGATATTGTTCTTTTTGTTCCGAGTGTTGGTGAGTATTAGAACCAGAATCTGATTACCAGTGAGTCTCTAACTATGTTTCCACCTAAACGTTGTGCAAATTTTGAGAGAATTAGATTCATTTCTATCTTCTGGTTTTGAAAAAAATCAAATGTTGACGCTCCGAATGGCTGCAGTAATCAGGAAGTAAAGGTAGCAAACTGGAACGAATCTCAGAGGTTTCAGGAATGTGGTCTGGAGACGCAGGCAAAGAAACGCAATCTAACACATGCTAACAGAGGAAACAGCTGATCAGGTGTGAGGTGAAAGGTCACTACGTCAAAACTTAAACTCTTTTTCTGGAAAAGCCAAAACCGCCTCTGGCCAGTGCTTTTTTTGGCTAACTTGAGGAAGTTATTTAAAATTTTCCTGCTTCTACAATGAATTCAGTATTTGGGGACTTGATCATGACTTATGGCAGGAAAAATCATTAAATGGACAAAATGGTTTAAATGTAAAAACAAAATCGCTGCATTTCAGCTGTGGATCCATTTATCTGGACTCTTCTGAAAAGATGAGCTTTAAAAAGGTAAAGCAGTAATTTATTCTGAAAGTCCTGTCACTATAATCCCATCAGCAGGTGGATCGTTAAAACGTTTCTTATAGAGAGGTGAAAGAGGTCAAATGGAGGTGATGAAGGCAACGTGAGCTGCACTAGACTCCACTGCAGAAGGAAAAACAGCAGCATCTCTAGGAAAATACATAATTAGATAAATGCTGGTGTGTCTGTTAGTTTTTAGGATTTTTTAGACCTTTTCTGTCCTGCAGAAGATGAAACATTTAGAGGTAATTATCCCGTCCTTCACGTCCCGTTTTGGGTCAGGATCTGTTTACAGTGAAGTTTAATCTCCTGTCCGATTCACGAGAGATTAAATATCTGAACTTTTCCCGTCTCATTTATTTACCACTCAAACAGCCTCTAAATGTCAAACCGTCTCAGCTGCTGCCTGACGTTTACATGAACTCACCGATCCCAACATACAAACATGGCGACTGCATTTTACTTCTCTTTTACCTGACAGATTAACACCAAACAACACACAGCTGACAAGTGAAGGAAAATAAGGTATATTTGGTGTTTGAATCACTAAAATAGGAGGTTTTATGCTGCAAAACTTGACCAAATACTTTTAGTCTAGATTCTAGTGCAAATATCTCATCACACAAGTAACTTTTCAGTTATTTCACTAATAACACGGTAAAAGGTCCTGTAATAAGTGAACTAATTTAACAGCACTAGAACTTAATTAATATTAAGAAATTAAAACAATCTCATATTTATTGAAAAGTCACTTGTTAGTTTAGTCTTATTTCAAGTGTACTAATTTATCTGAACTGTAGAAACTCGACAGAAAATGCTTGGTAAGACGTTTCTGTCGTAGAGTTCATGTACTTTAGCTGCTTGTGGGTGAATTTCATTTTACTTTAAAGACTTGCAACAACTCTTTTGTATTTGCAAACATGTTAATTCTCCATTTTGAAGGCTTTGTGTTGAGATAACAGCCTGAGTTTATAAATGTCCAGCCGTGTGAAAGGTTAGCATAAAGTCTGGCAGAGGATGATTGGAGAGTTCGTCTGGATGTGCGTTTGCTCCTCTCAGCTGCTAATTTAACTCGGATAATAAATGCAGTCAGTTGGCAGTAATTTCCACCAGCTCTGGCTTGTGACACGTAAATCTCCTTCGGTGTTTTTTACCTCGGCTCTGACTCCATTGGTTAGAAATCCTCCCGTACTCTGATTAATCTAATCCCATATTCTCCCTCTGCCGTCATCCCTCAGTCCCGTTTAAACGTCTTCCCTCTCACGCTCCACTTAAGCTCTTCTTTAAGTGCACTTGAACATTTCTGCGTTTCGGTGGGAAGGAAGTGGGGCGCGATCATGTGGCCTTCATGATCATAGAAATAATAACAGAAAATATGAAACATGGTAGAAAGATCACATCCAACCTCCAACACAACTAATTCACTTTTCTTTGTTGTGACATTTTAAAAGTTTGCACAAAATTTGCATTACAAATGAAGGGAAACAGCTTCTGTTTCTTATTGTTGAGTCATGACCTCTGACCTCTGCAGTGAAGCTTGCAGAGATTTACGTCTGGTTCACATAGATAAAATAATAAACCACACAGCGAATAAAACTCTTAGCTACAACAGGTGCAGATTTCAAACCGGAAAATCTCGCAAAATGTGTCTCGACCAAACATGAATTCAGATGAAACAAACATGGTGATTAAACATGATTCAGCAAATATTCCGATATTTGGGGCATCGTTAAGATTGTCAGAAGAGGAAAAATCGAAACAAAAATTGGCCTAAAAATGGAGGCCAGCGTTCTCTCGGAGTAATTCCAGGAAGTCAGCCAAATGTTTGAGATGCTTTCGCCTACTTCATGTTGTCTGGCAGGAATAGTTTTAATGATTTCTTCCCACGAACGCATTACTACTGAATGTAACTCATTTCATTAGCTGCATTTCCACTGGCCGTAAAATTTGTTAAATAAATTTGCTTAATGGAAATGAAAGAAAACTCAAGTTTTTTGGTAAAACGTTTTTGCGCTGGGATGAGACGGATTTCAAAATGAGAGCGTTTCACAGAACTGAAATGGAAACTGTTTTTTTCATCACGAGTCACATGATCAACAACCAGATGTTGCTACTGACGGAAATGACGAAGACGACGACAGGAAGTAGGACAATGACGGTTTATTTTCTTATTCACGTGTGATTTTCTTATCTAATGTAAACAATGTAATGTGAATATCGATAAAGTTTTGTGCACATTTGTAGTGGAAACGCGTCTAATAAGAGCTGATTCAGTTTTCTGCCGACTCTGCTTGATTTGATGTGAAACACTTACATGCAACAAACCGTTAAAAGCCGAAGTCGTCGATGCAGATCAACAGAAACTCTTCTGGGTCGGTGTTCCTTTAGATGTGCCTCAGTGAATTACCTGCTTTCATTACCGCCTGACATTTAGCGCGTGCGCTGCGGCGAACCTGAATGCCGCATGGTAATGAGGACGGATGCGGCAGTGACAGAGCCGTCGACGGCGGCAGGACTCGTGACACGCGGCGCGGACGTGTTCGCCGGCAAACATCACGATCCGGCTCCATGTCGGGGCTGCAGCAGCGCCAAGACAATAACCAAACTCTATTTACCAGACCTCATTCCCTCATTCGGACCCAAAGTAATTACTGGGGAACATTAACAAACGGATGCGGCAATTTAGCCTGAGGCCAGACAGCTTGTTTTCAAATGGAAATGAAGGTATTTTGCTATTGTCCACTGCAATATTGTCGTGTTATGGTTTGAGGCTTTATTTTTCCCTCTTCCCCTCGTGTGCACGATAAAAGCGGCGGTGTTTACCGGGCCAATTGTTGCGGACGACTGCTCAGAGCGAGGATAATTCTGGCTTAACGCTAACGCCGCCGTCGGAGGACAGCGTCACGAAGACGGACGCGCCGCCGCTGCAAACACTTCGCTGATATCTGAGGTGTGACAGCGAAACGGGAGAACGGCGCCTTTCCTCGCAGGCGGAGAGCGTTTTCCCCGTGTCAGGGTCACAACACTTCAATAGCAGCCGTGATTATCATGATCAGCTGTAATGAGGGCCTTCAGGGTGAGCGCCACTCGCTCCTGTTCCTTTAACACAGCCTGTTATTACCACTTTTTGTTCCTTCGCTCTGACTCACTGCAGACCCGTCTTGTAACGTGTAATTCTCTCCCGATAGCGCCCGTCACGCTGCCCCCGTCACCGACCTGACGAGCCCGGCGGCGGCGGCACCCCGACGCGCCGCGCAGCACAAAGGAGCGCCGCCATTACGGCCCGCCGGGGTCGCCTGATGAGGGCTACAACAATGGCGGCGGCTCGTTGTCGCAGCGTGACGCGAGTCTGGGGGAGAAACTGGCCAGAAAAAAATAAGAAATATGGAGGCGATGTTTGATCCTGATGGAGCCTGAAAATGAATCCAGCAGGAAAAATACTAAAAAGATCATCTGATTTAAAGTCCAAGTGTTCAGAAAATGAATTAAATGTAAATAATTATGAACAGAAACTGATTTTACAAGTTAAATTAAACTTGTTTTGCCCTTTCTGCTACCACACTTTTTCCTTCCACTCAACTTTCTGTCAATACAATCACTCTGAGCTTTTTTTTTTTATCAGCGTTGCTTCAGTTTTTCTTCTCCTGACATTCCTGTGTTTATTATTGGTTTATTCATTTTTAAGCAGAATTATTGTTTTAAGTTTGAATCATCAAACTCTTTGACTCTCATTCTGCAGGAAACTAGTCTGTTTAATAAACAAGTTTTAATTACTTTTCAACAACCAGCTAATTTTTTAAAGTGAAATAAATAATTAACAGCATGAATTTCACATTCAGGCTTTAAATAACATGAATAATGTTCAGTAATAAAGAGAAAAAGATGAATAAGAAAAACCCTTAAAGAAAGAAAGAATTCAGAATTAGAAACGATTCGATGAGAAAAACTGAAATATTTCTCATGTTTGCTGCATGAAAGGAAATGGGCAGAAAAGTCAATTCCCTGAATAATTTTTGTGAGCATTTTATTTTAAAACTACGATTTCAAACCAAATTTTCATGTTAGATTCTCTCTGCGACACACTGACAGACTTATTTACAACAATGTCAATGAACTGAATAAATAACATCAGTTTGCAGGGATCCTGGCACAAAAAACTAGGAAATAGAAAATAGAGGAGGCGACTTTTGCTAACGGATAAATTTGCTACTGATCATTTTTTTCTGAAAATTTGCTAGAAAAAATGTTTAATTTTGAGTTTAATCTCAGAAACTTTCAAGAAAATAACTTAGAAAATTCTCAGTTTTTAAAAGTAAAAAATGTGCAAAAAAAAATTCAGAGTTTGAAAAGTTTAAAAAAAAATTATTTTTCTGAACTTTCAAGAAAAAACAGTTTGAGAATTCTGAAAAATACGGCTAATCAGACATTTTGTACACAAATGTCCTCCGTCTTGCTTTTATCTAAATATCGCTAACACGCCGTGGTAAATGTCTCTACATGAGTCGCATTTCAGACGCAGTTATTGAATGTTTTGCTGTGTTGTGAGATGCCGTGCTGCGTGCGGCTGCAGGTTGTTGAGAAGAAACAGAAGCTGAAGAAGAGTGGCGTACCTCCATGGTCTGAGACTGGTGCATGGCTTTGATTGCATTCTGTGCCATGGCTCTGGTGGAAAACGTGACAAACGCACAACCTGCAAGGAGGGAGGAGGGAGGGAAGGATGGAAGGACAGTGGAAGGGAGGAGAGGGGGGAGGAAGAGGAGGAGGAAGACAAGAAAGAACAAAAACAAGACAAAGGGTTGGACACGTCGTCGTTATAAAAAGAAAAACAGATTGATACAGAGAACATGTCACAGGTGGACAACATCGTTTTCAGTGGCTGGAAAAACGAGCATCATGACATCACATCCTGCCCCCCCCACATGAAACATCAGAGCTGCAGGCCTTCCTCACCTCCGTCCTCTTCCTCACCTCTGAATTAGTCAAACCTGAATTCTCAGCGTCTCTCTGAAAATCTGCATTAAACCTTTTGAATTTATTTCACTGGACGCCTAAAATTTTCTCTTTTGTTCGACGGGAAGAAAGACGAAGGAGCCGCGGGGCGCCGGCCGTAAAACCACAGGGGGTCGTTTTAAATCAGAAGAGAGGAGGAAGAGAAGGCGTGACCATCTTCCTCCGTGATCAGCGCCGGTTTCAGCCAATCAGCACGGCCGGTTTCATGGCGGCACGTTTTCTGCAGGTGAGGCGGGAAGCGCAGCCGGTCAGGGAGCGACGAACAGAGACGATGTGAGAAGAGCTGCAGCAACACGCTAGGCTAACCGTATGCTAAGTCAGCGAGCCGAGTTAGCGCAGCCAGGCCTGAGGGCCACACACACACACACACACACCCACACACACACACACACACACACACACAACGGTAAAAGTATTTTGGGGGATTTTATGTGCCTGACTGAAACTGGAGGAAAACATTTCACGGTTTTCAACATGTTTTAATTGTAAAAATCTGAAAAGTGTGGCGGGCCTGTACGTTTAGTCAGAACTCAGAAGAAGAAAAGAAATAATTCAAAGGAGTGATCAGACCGTTTGGTTTAAGACTTTAAAGACGTTTTTGTGTCTGTGAAATGAAGGTCAGTAGCGGTCGACCTTTGTCTCTGTTTTTGTTAAACAAGCTGATATTTTCCCCTCTGGATTTCATCTCGCACTGCATCCTGAAATGTTTCTCTCCACTTCCTGCCCTTCCTCTGTCAGAGCTGATCACATTTCAGCCGTTAAACGTCGGGCTGCAGCAGAAGCAGCAAGCGAGGCGCTGAAGGTCGCTGGATTCTGCAGCTCTGACCCACTAAACAGTCGCCGTCCTTTTTCTGAGCTGAAAGGTTGTTTGAAAGCAGGTCACTCCATCAAATGATTCAGAGGCCTGCCTATTTTAGACGAGCATCATTTAACGGCTGCTTTTCCAGGAGGATGCTGCAGAAGTAGATCACTGCTGCAGATGTGGCTCCAAACTGGTCCAAACTGGTTCAAACTGGTCAAAAACTTGTCAGACGCTGCAACTTTCAGAAACGCACAGGAAAAAAATGCAGATTTATTCTGTTTTTGCTTCTTTGTCCTACATTTTTATGTCAGATAAAACCTGATTTAATCCATAAAAATCAACCGAAGTGAAATGATCAGTCCTCAACCACAGAAATAACTTTCACAGGACCCGTCTGACAACACGAAGTAGGCCACAGAGAAACTAAGGCACAGCCTCCAACTGTCTAAAAGTTGCAGTTTTTCATTTTTGCACAAATCCTCCATTATTCATGTTAGAAATGTTCTATGCTGTTAAATGTTGTATTAAAGATTCTAAATAATTTGTTTGTGTACCTTTGCTGTTAAATTTGTTGTTTTTCTTCATTTGAAACTGTTAACACTTTATTATGGAGGAAATTTTCATGGTAAACTGATTCGATAGCAGCAGTCAAACATGGTGGTGGCAGTATGGTGCTCTGGGGATGATTTGCTGCTCAACTTTCAGCCTAAAACTCAGCAGGAAATCCACCCAGAGTCTGAATTTAAACATTTCTGCATCTCTGATGATTTTTCACGCAGCTGTGTTGGCTTGGTTGGATTTTTCTCTTGTTTTCTGAAATCCTGCCGATCTGAGCTGGTTTTCTCCAACGGGAACTTCTCCCCTGCTGACGCTGGGTTCATGAATATTGAATCCGGTTCTGAATAAAAGCAACTTCCCGCCTGCTCGGTGCGCGTCTTGTTTTCTCCACAGTGCAGAGACGGGGACGAAGCCGGATCGCTAAAAATACCTCGTGGGCCGCATTCTGTCGTCAGCGGAGCGCCGCGCAGTCCTTTAATGAAAGTAGGGTAGCTCCCCAGGCCCAGCCATCCACTGGTGGTGTGATCCATATTTTATTAATAGCGGCGCGCGCGGCTGATTGATACTGTGAGTTTAAAGCGAGTTCTGCTAGGTGGGACCGCGGGCCGCTGAGAGTTGCCAGCTCAGAAATCCTTAAAGACCGATTTATTTCCAACCTGATTAGAGGTGTTTATTGACCGGCCAAGTTGGGCCGCCAGCGCTCCGTCTCTGACTCGTGTCAGCCGCTAAGTGGCTTACATCGGCTCGACAGAAACCAGGATTTGGCCATCAGGTTTGAAATATTCATGAGGACAAAAGAGAGGAGCAGAAAAGGGGATGGAAGACAGAAACAAGGAAAGGGAGGGAAGGAAGCGAAAAGAGGACAAATCGACTGAGGAGTGGATTCTGGGACAGCCGGGGTGAATTCAAAGGTGGAGCCGTTTAGTTTGGACTCAAACAACCTTCAGACGAAAAAATAAAAGAAAATATTCGCAACGTTTAACGAGCACAGAAGAAGATACAGGAACAGCGACAGCTCATTGGACGAGAAGAGGAGAAACAGGAAGAGATTTCCATCTCACCACACAGAAACCACAGAGGGAAGGATGGCTGAGGTCAGGGGTCAGAGGTCAGGGCGGGATGGCGTGGCGTCATAGCTGAGCTGATAAAACGAGTTGTTTCCCTATAAATGGAGCCACAGGACGGGAAGATGCATCTCAGGTTTGAGCAGCAGAGTATGTTGGGGCGACCATGGAAAACCATTTGTACCAAACCAGATCTGGTGGAGGAGGTATGATGCTGTGGGACTGTGAGAGAAGCCATCAACCAATCACATGAGGTTTCTCATGGTTTCAGCTCACATACTGCACTCATCTTCCTTCACATGTGGCACCAATTAAACGGAAAACAAACAAACTTCATCAGTTTATGTTTAACTCCAGGAAGTCGTGATACAGAAAGAAAAAACTCAATAAAGTCACTAATTTCAAACTCTTTGTTCCAGATTTGAACCATTATTCTTTAAGGCTGAACTAACAGTCCAGAAACATTGAATTTGTTGTGGTTTTTCTGTAATCCACTGGCTTCAGAGGAGCAGATTCACCAGTCAACACGGTTCGTTTTGGATCTTTGACCAGTTTACTTTACAGAACTGGTCCAGTTTCAACCGTCTAAGATCAACAACAGTCCACCTGCTGAAGGACAGCTGTGGCCTCTGGCACCAAGATGCTAGCAGCAGCTATCGCTATTAGCCGCTAAAGCTAGCGACCTGCAGCTGCCAACACATCCAGGAATCTGTCTAATTTCTTATCTGATTTCTACAAAATATGGCAGACATTAGAGACAGCACTTTCTACCCCATATCCTCCTCTAGGGGGCAGAGTAGAGCACATTTGTTGGCCTTGTGTGAGTTTGCTGGTGGTAAATTTGGACCGTCTCCCCAACTTTCCCTCCAATCAGGAACCACATGGTAGAAACTTGGACTGTTTTCCAAGCTTTGATCCAAAAAGGTTTGGGAACAAACCAAAAGTTTCTCTCTTCATCTGGAAAATTACAGAAAATCTACAATAAATTCAAGTTTGGTCACAAGATTCTCTTTTTTTAACCTGTTGTTGTATTTTAGATCCTGGCTGATCCGACTGCTCGGTGGGTTTTAAATCCACTTTGGTCCAATTAAAGGAACAGAGTAACTCTGGTCTTTCTGGGATCTGAACAGTCTGGATGCCAACTTTGGAAAAAAACTCCAACTGAATTTTGTGTTTTTCTTTCATTTCAAATGTAAAACTACATTACATTTGGACCAAAATACGTCATTTCTGATTTTTATTTTTTACTAAAAATATCAGTTTTCCTTGAATAAACAACAAAGTTATGTGACATGTTCATGAAACAAATCAGAAACTGAAGGATGATTTGGACAGCAACATTTAAAGTGTCTCAAGACGGAAGTGAAGAGCTTCCTACTGGTTTCCAGTGGGGCTAAACTGGAAGGGGAAGGATGGGGATGGTGGTGAGAAAGTGGGAGGAGAAGGGGGGAGGGGTGAGCGGGGGGGACGAGGCCGAGAAAGCAAGGAGAGAAAAAAAAGAAAGTGGTGGGGAAAAGAGATATACAGCCAGAAAAGGAAGCAGCAAGTGTTGACAGTGAGGAGAAGAACCTCCAGCCGCCGCCGCAGGGTAAAGACCTGAGACAAGATGGCCGCCGTGTCACAGCTTTAGAAATATGTGCAGAAAATAATGAGCAATTCTGACAAACTGCAATGATTGTGTCTAACCAGTAGGAGGCAGCAGCGATAACAGAGGAGGCTAAAAACAGTTTTTATAAGTGAAACGTAAATAAGCTGATCTTTGCAGAAATCAGTTTAATGTTCCTAAATAAATCTGGTTTCAGTGGATTCCAACATAATCACGGTTCAGAATGTCTGTTTTTATAAAGCATATCTAAAATATTAGAAACAAAATGCAGATTGAGAAGCTGGGAGAGAAGCTAGTTGCTATTGGCTGGCATTTGGAAAGCAGCCAATCCGGAGGCAGCATTCAGTTTCCTTGGTGCTGATTGGTTGAAACACCAACAGCAGAAATAAGTAGTAAGTAAATATTAGTTTCTCCCGCTAAAACAGTTTCCACTGAGTTTATTAAAGCGTATTAAGGCATGATTAGTGTTTAAACTATAAAAACTGGACGTTAGAAGAGCTTTAGATGAATCATGGGACTTCTAAATGAAATTCATGGATTTTTATTCAGAGGATATTATGAGAATGGATTTACTGCCTAAGCAAGCCACACTTTTCAGATTTTTGTTGCAAGAAAAAAGTCAACATTTCTGTTGATCTGTCACAAACTTTATTTGATGGCTGTGAGTGAACAGTCTGCTCGGCTTCCTGGCCTCAGCCAGTAAAGGTGAGTGGGTTTGGAAACCAGCTGAAATGTTCTCCTCAGTTCATAAAGTCTGAATTTACTGGAGAGGAAACCAAACTCAACGTTCTCCAGATGATGAAACACATTCAGCTCAACATTTCTAACGTTTCAAAATAAAACGACTCCAAGCTTTTCAGTTTGACTCGGTTGGTGAGACTAAAACTTATCATGACTCGGCTGCAGATCTAATGACCAGAGGAGTTTAATTCTGAAAACTTTGGATAAACCATGATTAGCTGAAGATTCTACATCAATAATTAATAACTTTAAAGTTTTAAGTTATTGATCTTTTAGAACGTTTTCTTGCATTATTAGGCCTTAATTATTATCATGTCACTTGAAAATGGTTTGAAAACAAAAATATTATCGTTTATTGCGATAACTTCTGGGAAAACGTGTTACCGCTGGAAACAGAGAGATGGGTGGAATGAAGTTTCGTTATTCAGAGATGCTTTAATGGAAATGAGTCTGGTTGCTCGTCTTTGTGGTTATCATGATGTTCAGCATAAAAATCCCTTCAGACCTTATTTAGTCTTTAACCTGCAAGCGTGAAAAAGTTTCATAAAGAAGTGGGCGGATTATTTACGTGTCTAAAGCTCAGAGTCTGGTCCAGATTATCACCTCAGATATGAATCTATTGTTTCTTATTTAACTTTAGTTTGTCCCAGAAGCAGTTCTCCTTCTCTGAGGCGGGCGGCCATCTTGGCGAGCGGCAGCAGCTGGAGGTGAGTCAGAGTGGTGGGTACCTCTGCTGAGCCCGTCGGGCCCCCGGAGGATCCGGCACTCCTCGATCTGGCCGAACGCGGAGAACATGACCCGGATGTCGTTCTCGTTGCACTTCTTCGACACCATGCCGATGAACAGCTTCCTGTCTTCAACAGCTGCAGGGGAAGAAACATTTACTGGATCATTTCTCTTTAAAAGGTCCAGATCAGTGCTGGGGTTAAATAAGTACACCCTGTCCCAGTTCTACACACGGTAACGTTAACGACCCAATCCAATTATCAAAGCAAAAACACACAAACATACATAAACTGTCATGGAAACAGTTTCTGTAGAACCGCTTGAGTCCAACTCTTCCTGAAGTTTCTTCTCTCCGAAAGTCCAACAGCATCACCTCTTCAAGTTGATGTCTGGACTTTGACTAGGCCACTTAAATTCAACATGCAAACTGAAACTATTTTCAGTTCTCCCTCTTGAACTGAGTTCCTAAACTTGTTTGGGATTTAATCCTGTCTGAGATTAAGAGCAGAAACAGTTTTAGGTTTGAAAACAATTTTTAAAATCAGGTTAAAATTAGGATATCTGATGGGAATGTGTGGAATAAAACCAACTAAAAACCGGAATCGAATCGTTAGAAACTGAAAGATTTCCATCTCTGCTGACGTCCAGGTCGCTCTGAACACAGCAGGAACATTTTTAGCGTTTTCTTTAGATCGTCCCGTTAATCGTTACGTTTGTGGGAAGGAGAACTCGTTTCCTCTCTGCAGAGCGACCGACCTCAGGAAGTTCAGAAACGGCCCGATAACCTCTCCTTTCAGAGCCGCTGATCCGTTAACGAAGCGCTTTAATTAGCCGCTCCTGGTGAATCTGTTGAAGTTAAACCGAATCTGAAGCTGACGGTAAATAATTAAAAAACTCAGAACAAAGAAAAAGGTTGAAACAGAAGAAAAGTTAAAAGAAATGACAGAAAGAAAAAAGAGACTTTGTGTGTTTCATCATGCTGTGATCGATGTCTGATTATCACTTCAACCCCGAGACTCAACCTGGTGGAAGGAGCAGCGGCGGCGGCATGCTGTGGGCCGACGGCGGCGACGCCTTCACTCCACATCCAGCGTAAGGTTAATCCGATTCATTTTTAATGAGGAAACTGTCAGCTCCTTCCACCAGGCCAGGCAGATAAGCGCTCGCTCTCTGGGAAATCAATAGCACACTTGTTTATTTTGCTGTTTGACTCGTTTGTGTGTTTAAAGAAAAAAAGAAGAATCAACAAACCGACGGGATTCGCTGTCGAGATAAGAGGCGCTTTAAGAAGCCGTGGCTGCTCTGCGGGCGGCGTGTCGGTGTGTGTGCGCATCACTCCAGAGGATGATTAGCACAAGTCTAACAGCAATGTAATTAATTTACTCTGCGTCGATAGAGGGGAAGGAGAGCAGATATCGTTACAATTGACTGTTTCTGCTCGCCGTTCGAGGCGCGCCGGCAGGCGGCGAGGCGATAAGCACTCATGGAGACGGAGTCAGCGTTGCATTGTGGGAGAAAGCTTCAAGAACCGCCTGCGGACCCTTCAGGGGAGGAAAAACCTGAGCCGTCTTCCTCCGTTTTCCTTACGGTTTCCCCATTTTCCCCTCTCCCGCTGACTGAACTGATAAAACTCGCCGCCGCCGTTCGTCAGCGCTAAAGCAGATCTAACAGCGGGTTTATTAAAGGTCGTTTCTGTTAAACGGTTGGATACGTATCCTTCGTCAGGCTCCATATTTCACCCTTCCAGCTGCGAGCCACAGCTTTTTATTGAGTTCCTCCCTCCTCGCCCCGACAGTTATGTCTTATAAAGTCACAATTCGCCATATTTCAGTGGAGCGGATGATGGCTTTTCTAAGGATTCCTTTCTTCTTCTTTTTTTTTGGGTCGTGCCGGCAGAACTTTGGGCTCCTGATGTGCCGCCAAAAAGCAGCGGCATCAAGTCGAAGCCCTTTATTTCCAGCTCTGGTTTTATAGCTTTCATTATCACGTTCTGCTCAATTGCTCAGCTTTAAGGGTCATTTCATCAAAATTACAGAAACGCACATTTACTCCACTTAGCCAGGCAGATAAATTAGATGTAATTTGCCAAAATTTCTATCTGTCACTGATATTTATCATTTTCGCCTAAAAAGTTAATAAAAGTCTAATTTGAGGTCCACTGTTTATCCAACCAAAGTAATCATACATCTGTTCTTGTGAAATTAATTATTATTTTTCCTTTTTTTAATCTTTTAAAGGATTAAAATCAGATTTTCTGTAAAGTCTGAGCGACAACAGGAGCGTCTCTGGCTGAATGTTTCTTTAAATCATTTCTGTTTGCAGCTTCTGAATAATAAACAGAAACTTATGTTTCTTTGTTGCATTGTGTTGATCAATTAACCTGCATTAAAATCGGACCAGGCTCCTTCTGTCCCAAACCAGAAGAAAAAAAACTTTACATCAACAACCTTGGAGCTCAAGTTTCCGACTAATTAGAGAGACATAAGTTTTAATGTGGAGTTAAAACATAAAAATGGTGATTATGTTGGTTTATTGGACATTTAAAGGAGCAACAACAGAAATTTAGAGCAACCAGCTTCATTTGGCCTAAACAGAGTTGATTCCTGGGATCATTTTGATTTTTCCGCTGATGATATTATAGTTTATTTTGCACTGAATAACACAGGATGGCTCATATTTTTAGCTCAAGTTTGGAAAAACTGGATTCAAATCTGCTGGAAAATATAAAAACATTAAAAATATACATTGTTTTTATGGTTTCATTTGGACTTCTGCTGATTTTTCCACTCATTTATCAGAAAGTAGGAGCAGAAAAGTCGTCACCTTGCAGAAGATTCGAAGTCAGAAGATCCTGCTGTGCGATTAAAAAGCCCCTCTTTATTTCCGGTTCTGGTTTTATAGCTTCACTATTATGTTCTGCTCAATTACTCAGATTTAAGGGTCATTTCATCAAAATTACAGGAGCTCACTCAGCTCAGCCATGCAGATACATTAGCTGTAATTTGCTAAAATTTCCGATCTCTGCCAATGATATCTATTATTTTTGCCCAATAAGTTCATAAAAGTCCAAATTGAGGTCTGCTGTTTCTCCAATCAAAGTAATCATCCGTCTCTTCCTGTGAAGTTGGTCATTAATAATCTTATTTTTACCTTTTGAATCATGAAAATGAAACATTTTCTTCTTTCAGAGAATCTAAAAATAAGAAAGTCGCCTTCAGGCTTTTCAGAAAAATAAAACAACTAAATTTATAACTTGTAGCTTTTTTGTCTTAACATTTCAAACATGTAGAAATGAAATAATCAGAAATGTGGGTTTGTCTTTATCTCCCTCTGTTGAAGGTTTTTAATTAAATCTATGCCAAGAAAACTTTTTGTCTTCCTTCCAAGTTGTTTCACCTTCAAAAAGTTTCTTCAAACTTTCTGAAATTCTCTGAGATTTTCTGCAGTTATTTCACTCAAATTCACACAGTGACCCGCTGACATCACAGATTTGTTCATTTCTATGCAGACGACGTCCAGATTTATCCACCAGATCAGAAACCAAACGTTAAACTCAGCCTCTGTTTGATGACAATACATCTCAGATTAACAGTATTGTTTTTTCTGTAAATGATAATAAAACGGGGATCATTCTGTCCAGACATCACATCTATCATCTCCTTGACATTTATTCCACTTTCCTCCACTCATCCGTTCAAAATCGCCCTAATTAACAACGTCAAGTCGGTCACGTTCTGTTCACTAATCTGGGGCAATAATTACCAAATTGAACCTCAGGGATTAAAAATAAGCAATAAGAATAATCCATATGGTATTAGAACACTTTAAAACGTTTTATAAAGTCTAACTCATTAAAGCTAGTTGATGTAGTGAAACTACAGAAAGCTCCAATTCTTAACAAAACCAAAAATAAACAATTACCACAAAACTAATTAGCAATTTACAAGTTATGTTGGAATCACAGTTTAAAATTTTACTACTGGAAAAATGTTTCAGTAATTTGAGACAAACTGGAATAATTTTAATATTGAAGTTAGAAAATGTCCAAACATAAAACTGTTCAAATGATCATATAAACATCTGATTATTGCAAGATATATGAGATTATTATTGGTGTTTTTGTTTGTTTTCAGGAGAAATTTAAAGAATTTATTCTTCATCCATGGTAATTAAAATTAAATTGACAGCTTATTGATGGGTGAACTAATAAATACAGGTTTAGATTTTATTGATTGTTACAAGTTTCTGATAATTATTGAGTCGGTATCAGATATGAAATGTTTGAAAATGAATCATTTTAAATAAAACAGTTTTGATAAGGTAATTATTTTCTTCTCAGTCTTACTGATTATTTGTTTTTATTTTTAAAAACCTGATTATAAATGTAATAAATATAAGATTATGTCTGTGGTTAAGGAGTGGGATTATTCACAAGTTTATAATTATCTCTGAAATATGTAAAACTAAAGTTTAGACCTTATGATTCATGCAGGACGTTTTATTTAGCAGATATTCAAAAATAAACCAACCTCTGTGTTACGTTTGATTGATATTTGAAGATTGTCCAGTTGGACAACCAAAGCAGATCAATGGGTTAGAATGGCCTAGTCAAAGTACACAGCTGAGAATGTGAGGGACAACCTGGAAACGGATGCTGTCTGGTTTGACGGAGGTGGGTTTGTTCTGCACAGAGAAACGGGTCGAGTCTGGATGTGAGGATGAAGCGAGCGCCGGCGAGAGGCAGCCGCCGCGGGGAGCGACACCAGTTCATCACCGGGCTAAAACGATTCAACTGGCGCTGACCTCCCTCCAAAGCACCTCAATAATTTATGACACGTATAAGAGAAAAAGATAGAGACACAGAAACATCAGCATTTCCTCCTCTATCTCTCTTTTCTGCTTCAATCTTTTCTCTTCCCGTCTTCTCTGCAAGTCAAGTGAAGCAGCTATTACCAGGCAAATTCAAAAACAGCTCCTGGTGTGTGTGTGTGTGTGTGCGCGCGCGCGTGTGTGTCCTTGTGGCCACTCACCATTAGATTTCTCACTGTCTGCAGGTTTCATCTGAATAGGGTGATGCATCTGTGGAAACAAAAGAGGGGCAGACAGAAGAAAAACATTAAATATCACCTTGACACATGCATAAATACAGAGCTGCAAAATGCTTCAGCTCCCTCATGTGCAAATTAAATCTGAATATCATTCAGAGGCAAATGTCAACGAAAGCAAACGCTTTGGTTTCTCATAAACACTTCAGTCCGGAGGGCAGGAGGCGTGGAATCAAACGGAGTCATGAAAGCAGCAGAGAGACGCTAAAAAGCAAACAGAAGAAGAAAAAGACGGTCAAGGACGAGAAGATGAAAAAGGGCGAAAAGACGAAGCAAAAAGAAAAAGAAAAATCAGGAAACAGGCAGAAGCTCAGAGTTACAATAACGTGAATAAAAAAGGTGAAAATCACTTCATTGAGTGATTACAGAGAGCAGAGTTCATCAATATGCTGGTGCTGCAATTATTCAATTTAACTAATAATCCATACAACGTTAATTGTTTATATTTTATTCCCAGGAACACAAAGTTCACCTGAACAAGAATAAAATGTTTAAATTTGGTACACTCTGTTAAACTGCAGACCAGAACTCCATCATCTGCTCCTCCTCCAGCTGCTGTGGCTCTGAGTCAAACCAGCCTGTTCCCCTCCTGGCCTGTGGGGGCGCTGCACCAAGAACCACTGAGGGAAACGACACAAAAACCTCTGAAGACACTGAGAGCAACTTCCTTCTTCACCAGATGGAAACAAGATGGAGGCGTCAGATTTTAGCGGTTGGAGGATTTCTCTTTAGGCTAAAGACCAGGAGCCATTTCTGCTGCTAGCGCTAGGCTAGCATGTTAGCTTTGGTTGTATTTACCCAGAATGCCCTACGCTATAGTCCACTTCCTGCTTTTGGAGGTCCGCTTGGCGTTCACATTCAAACCGAACCAGAGTTCACTTTAACCGAACCCAGATGGAGATTTGGAGGACCAGAGGTCAGAGTTAGCTTAGCATTCACACCTCACCAACCGAACCGGACCGGAGCTTCTATGCAAACAGATTGGAGCTGGATTAAACGGACTGAACAGGACTGGTGTGAATGCTCAGCATCGTAGGAACATCTAGGTCTCTCCTGACTGAACAAGATTATCTGGTGCGACTCAAACTTATTTTCAGTTTTGTCTCCCACGTTGAATGACGCCCTGGGTGGTGAGCCACATCAGCGGTGTTCAAATTTTTTATCAAGCTGAAAGTGCTCTGGTAGCCACAAAATGTTCAGTATTTTTCTTCTTAATTACAACTTAGTTCTTTTGTTTACCTGCTAAATAAATAAACTAAGCACAAAATATTTAGACATTTTTCTGCAGACGTGTAAATGAGTAAATTACTGTTGATTTAAAACAGTTTTTTTTTAATCTGGGAGATTTGTCAATAATATATATATATATATATATATATATATATATATATATATATATATAGCTATGTATATGGATGCTAAATATATATATTTTTTGTGTCTTTAGCAACAAGAACAGGAAGTGACTCACTCCTGCTTTATAAAATGGATGTGGTTAAGACTGCATTGTAGTTAAAAACCTCTGAATGTTTCCTTTTCCTGTTACTAATAAATTAAATAAAATGCAAAAATATGTGAAAATTTGACCCCAACATTGTTTGTAAATGTAGATCTGCATCATCTAAAACAAATTTAGACTATTCTTGGCCCATCCAGAATAATTTCCAGGGCCACAAATGGCCCATGCGCCACACTTTGGACACCCATAACTAAAGCCTGCGCTGCTGCAGTTGCAGTCAGATGTGAAGCGTTCGATAAAGCGGAGCAGCAGCATGAATATGCTTTCAAACGAAGCGGTTTCTGCCGGATGTGATGAGGATAAAGACGTTTCTGTAAGCAGCGTAAATACTGTCTAATGTACACTTCCACACTCCCATTCATCTCTGTGACGCGCACAAAGAGCAGTTTAATAGAGCCGCATGATAGATGTGTTTTCAGCTCGTGGCTCGTCTTTTATGAAAAAACAAGAAAACACTTTAAGCGATGAGACGGCTTTGTCACCTCGCGCGCCCGGCTGAACCCTCTCCTCTTATGTCCCGTTTTTATTCCCTCCATCTCTCTTTCCTTTATGGGAGATTATGTGGCTGTTTGATCTGCGGAGAGACGAATGACAGTGATTCTCCAAATCTAGCCCGGTATCAATCACACTCAGAGTCAAATACCAGCCGTGAGGGAGTGTGTGTGCAGGTGTGTGTGTTGGCGGCGGTGTGTGTGTGCCCCGTCTCACCCATTACGCCCCTGGGCTCAGTCACGGTGTGACAGAGGGCTTTGATCTTCCAATTCTATCACACACCTTTATCCCAACTCTCCCTCGTCTTGCTCTCTTCCTTATCATCCTCACTCTGACATTTTTTTTCCCTTCTCACTGGCCTATTTCACACACAACACACACACACACAAGATCCACTGATCAGTTCCACGCACCGCCTCAAGGGGGCAGTCAGCTGAAAATTTAGGCTGAAACAAATGAACCAAAGAACAAAGAACTCCAAAGGTGGAAAAGTATTTGCCCACCTACAGATTTCTCCTGTTTTTACCTTTTAATGTGTTTCAAATAAAACTTTAATAATCAGACAAATAACGTTTGCATCTTTTGAGGAAAATAAGCTACAACCTAAATTAATTGACTAAAAAAAACGTGGACTGCAGTTTCATGAAGCAATAAAAACAATCCAACATTTAGAATTAGTGGTATTACTTCATGATAATTTAAATCAACTTAATTACAGCATCTGCAATTAATTAATCACAGATTAATCAAACCATATATAGAAAAATGAGCAACATTTTCAACTCAAAAACATGTTTAACTGCTAACTTATTGAATAAATACACATCAACAATAAAGGCATTATATATAAATAATATAGTTTTAAATCTGTTCTTTAACCATCAGCGATTCGGGAAGTCCTGATCATTCATGGAGCTGTTTGAACGCTAACATTAGCATTAGCAACATGGTTAGCATTGAGATGCTATTTTAGGCTTAATTAGTCTGGCTGATAGGCTAACTCCGTTTAGCACATCTTGTTCACAGCATTATTTGTTTCCAGTATCCAATCAGAAATGAACCTCCAGTGTGATGAGAAAACCAGCTTCGTCCTCCATCACTGTTAGCTGATGTAGCATGTGCGCCAGTTTCACAGCTGTACCAGAAACACACAAATACAAAGGTTCCAGCTTTACACTTTTGTATGAAGAAAAGAATAAATGCTTAAAAAAATTCTAATTATTTTATTAAAATGAATGTGTTCAAGTCCTGAAGCTATATACAACACAAACACCTTCCTATAGTCCATCAAGAAGAGACGAGCTTCATCCAGGCCCAAACTTCAACAAATAAAACAAGAAATTATTTTAATAGGATCTGTATGACGACACGAAGTAGGCCAAAGTATCTAAAACTGTGATGCACTAAATATAAATATGAACCTTCCCAGGAGGCCGACCCACCAGAGTTACTGCAAGAGCTCATCATCGATTCATGCAGGAGGTCCAGGAGAAAGCAAAGGTCAGAGGTCAAGATTCAACAATAAGAACACAATAAGAACACAAAGACCCGTCTCACATTTACCACAAAACGATCCTCTGGACTTCTGGGAAAATCTGATCGCACAGAACAAGAACAACATGGCTGCTACAGCCGACTGTTTTTATGGCCCCCAACTGCAGTTCAAGAATGACATAAATTTGTTAATGTATTTTCTTGCAATGGTAACTATTAGGTACATGAGGTATTTCACAACCTGGACGTATATAATAAGTAGAACTACGTCTGATGCAGCCGAATCAGATTTTATTTAATTTATTAAACAAAGATAAACACAGGAAGTGTTATGAAGCAAAGTGACAAAAATCAAAAGAAAAAAATTTGATGCAAATGTGAAAAATGTTTCTTAAGTTTTGGACCTACAAAAACTACTTCACTTTATTTATTTATAATTTTCTTGGCCTTCAAGTTTTTGATAATTTTTTTCTCCAACCTCTGTTTTTCGGCCCTCACTGAGCTCCGTACTTTGTAGAATGCTAGAAATGAGACATCAGCAGGAGAGACATGGAGCTCCTGCATCAAAGAGAGAAAAAGTGACAAAGGGTCGTAAAAGCTGGACAGACAGAGCGGCGGCGCGGCCCCTGAGGCGGCGCGCTCTGCAGTATGAGTAGCATAAGGACAGATGCGGGGATGTGGATGGGGCTTTGTGTGCTAGCTGAGGGTTGATGCCACATCAAACGGAGGAGAGTCATGTCAAAGTGAACCTGGAAGTCGCATCCAGTCAGTTTTCGTTAATCCATTTCAAAGTCTGTCCTCTGAAGGCAGAAAACAAAAAAACAGAACAACAAAAGGCATGACAGGCTCCGTGGCGCTGCCGTCATTCACTCCTGAAAAACGCTGCGCCGCCGCGCGCCGCCCACGCGAACCTAAGCAAGCAAGCGGCGCGCTCCTGCAGCTCAGGTACAAACAAGGAGAACGGCGCTTGGCTTTCAGGCGGCTCCTCCTCAGGTCTGTCTACCCAGAATGCCCGGCGGGCGGCGCCGCCGTCGACATGTTTGATCTCGGTGAGCTCCCGCCGAGACCAACAAAGCAAGGCTCTCCTCCGCTATCCCACAATTCCACAGTGCTGTTTCTTCCTGCCTGGCAGGCCCGCAGCCGCAGCCTGCCATTCATTATGCGCTCAGCAGGAAGCGGCAGAACCTCCAAAGTTCTCGCTGCGCGCAGGCGAACGCCGGGCCTCAAACTGCACCGGATGCTGCGCTGGCATTCTGCTGGAAAAATACAGACGAGTCTCTACGGCAGGGGGGAAATCCACTTCCTGTTTACCTGCAGCTGCCACGAAAAGCTGCAAACCAAACCGGCTTCCTGACAAATCCTTAATAGAAATGATTAAAACTCAGAAATGTTTAGATTAATCAGAAATTTTCTAGAAAGAACATAGAAATTTCTGAGTTTGCTAAATCAAAAATTTGCTTGGAAGAACA